CCCCCCCCGGGGCTCTCAAAGGCTCAGGAAGGACCAAGCAGCGAAGGGAGCTGGGGTTAGGGAGCTCCGACTTCGAAATTTAACTACTCGCTGTTTCGTTATTACGGGTATTTAATGGTGTGAGGGCTGAGCTGGTGCAGCACGCACCTTGCCGGGGCGCGGGGGGGGCAGGTAGCTCTCCTGAACCTGAGGATGTGGCGAGTTCTCCAGCCTGAAAATCAGCCCAGCTCTGGGTAAGCCCCCAATGATGAAGTCTGGGGGGATGTGACCATTCACTCCCGAGAGGATGTGCCCTGGCTGCCACTCGCAGCAGTGTGCTGGGCTGCAGGGAGCCTCCGCAGGCGTCTGCGCCGTCCTGCTCACTGGGGTCCAGTTGCCTTGTCTCCGCTATTAAACCCAGTCACCTCTTACATGCCCTTTCCAGTAAGTAAGGGAGTGCCTGGGAGCACTGGGCCCATCCACATGCCCTCCACCCATCACCAGGCAGAGGTACTGTGAGGACCCCCCAAAGCCACACTGCCTTGCTTCTCCCCACCGTGTCTGCTCAGCAGCTAGTTCAGATCCATTTGCCATCTTTCCAGGTCAAAGCAGCTGAAACCCGGTGTTGCGTCCGCACCCGGCCTGCTGCTGTGCTTCAGGAATAGTGCAGGCTTATCTCCTGGCTTCTCCCCTGCCCATTCCCCCACGCTGAGCTCGATCTCAGCCTGTGTGCTTTAACTTAGCTGCAAACTGACAGGCTGGGATGCACTGGTACCTGCTGGCCCTGCTGCCAGGGCTCTGCAAGGACAGCGGGGCCACCTCTCACGGTGCTCACCCTCCACAAGCCATGGATCTTCTCCATCCTCAGTCTCCTCCACTTCTTCTCTCCGTGCTGATGCATTCAGACGTAGCGCCCTGGCATCGGGGCTCCCACCCCGAGCTCTCGGCTGTGGCCCCAGGGTACAAGCTGGGGTCTCCAGCCCAGTGCCCCCCCCAGCCCTCCTCTTTACAGCCCCCCACCCTCGTGTTGCCGGTTCCTTTGGCAGAGCGCAGGGCTCCTGCAGGCACCCGCTGCCCCGTGCAGAGCTCCAGCACCGAGCCCTGGCTGCTGGGATTCGCTGGGAATTGTGCCAGCGTGAGGGTGATGCTCGAGTGCCGAGGGGACGCAGGGAGCTGGGCTGGGCTTGGCCCCGGGAGCACACAGGAGGTGGGAGAGGACACGCACCTCCCCTTCCACACGCTGGAACTGCCTCTGCCCCTTCTGCGGGACACCCCCAACTCTCCCGAGCACCCCGTGTCCCGCACCAGCCCCGCGTGTGGGGCTGAGATGTGCCATGGAAACGTTAAGGGCCAAATTCTCAGCTGAGGCAAACTGGTTCAGGGCCTCCGAAGTCGGTGGAGTGGCACCCATTTGCACCAGAGGAGGATCTGACTGTGCATATACTTTTATATATATATTTATATATATGTGTGTGTGTGTGTATAGATATATTACATAAATACATACGTATGAAATAATTTAAGAAACATCCGAGACAGCATGCTGTAAAAAAAAATGGGGAGGCAGCCGCTCGCCTCCCCCCCGGCTCTACCAGCTTTGATTCACAAATGGAAACAGAGTCTTGAATTAAATTAAAAACCGCACGCGCACACACACACACGCACACACACAACACGGTGCAGAGGCTGTGAAACTCAGAGGCGTGATGCTGGCCAAGTCCAGGTGTCCCTGAAGAGATCAGATCAACTAAAGCCGAAGGAGGGGAAATAAATAAATGAAGGGAAACCAGCAGAGGGGATCATCTCACTTGTGCTGGTGCTGTGTCCAGCATCGGGTCCCCCGTGCCTGCCCGGGCCCCCATGGGGACACAGCCACAATGTCACAGCCCTGCTTTGTCCTGGACGGGCTGTGGTGGGGTTGGGAGAGGCTGGTGGGATGTGCATGTCCTGCTGCGTTTGCCTTGGACCCCTTTTCTCCTTCGCCACGTACTTTGCTTTCGCTCCATCCTGATACTGAGCTCTTTGCCATCTTGGTCTTCAAGGACGAGAGGGAAAACCGAGCCCCAGCTAACGCCTCTGCTCTCTCTGCAGGAAGTTCTCCCAGAGCTGGGTTTGCTCCAGCTCAATCCTTCCCACCGACAGAAGAGCTCTGCAAGAAGACCTCCTTCCCATGGACTTTCAGAACAGAATGACGTTTAAAAAACAACCCCAAAATCCTAGAAAAACCCACCGTCCCATAAATTACCACTTTGTTCCAAAACTCCTCGTTTCTCATCCTGCCCTCCCCAACCATCCCAGAGGACTGAGGGATCCCGGCTCTGACACGCCATGCTCCGAGCGATCTCCACCGGCTGCAGCGAGGATGGAGGGCCGGGAAAGCAACCGAACCGAGCATGTGAAGAAACAACCCAAAGGCTCTGGACCACTGTCCCCCCCGCCCTCTCCTCTGCGGGAAATGGAAAGCCCCCGGGGCCACAGTGGCTGGGCTGCGGATCAGCTGGGGAGCAGGACGTGCTCCAGAAAGTAGGTGATGGAGTCCCAGTGCTTCCAGAGGAAGAAGAGGAAGAGGACGAGCAGGCCGGTGCTGAGGATGCGCATGCGGGTCTTCATGAGCGGGGTGATGAAGTTGGCGATGGTGGAGACGAAGACGAGCAGCACGGCCATCAGGGCCAGGATGACGTTGATGAACTTGCCCAGCAGCGCCCGGGCGTTGGCGTTCTCCACCCCTTCCAGCTGCACCACCTGCTGCTGCTGCTGCTGCAGCTCCAGCTTGGTCACCCGCGTCAGGCAGGACTCCACCGCCTCCTGCGGGGGACAGCAGGTCAGGACTGCCTGGTGGCTCCGAGGATGCCCCACAGGAGCTTTTGGTACTCGCCCCGTGCTCTGAGACCTCGCTGCTGCAACGTTTGGCTTGCAGCAAAATTGCTCTGACGCATACCAACCTTGGGGCAGTGACCACCCCGGCTGGGAAGGGGTTTCCCTCTGCAGACCCTTGGCCCGTGTGATGTGCAGGGCATGCCCCGACCCATGCTGCGCGAGCTGGGGAAGGTCTCGGTGCCAGGACTACCTGGTGCAGCAGGGGAGATGACCCAAACCGGGACAGCAGGGGCTTTGTTGGCCCACACGTGGCTCGTAACTGCCCGGTGCTGCAGCCATCCATCCCTCTGCAGACTTGTCCTGCCTTGAGCACCCGGGGACTTTAGCACAGCGGGGACTCGCTGGGGCACAGACAGGGGTTTTGCGGACATGGCGTAGTTACCTGCTTCTTGCTGTGACAGCATCGCAGCAAGGACTTCATCTGCAGGATGCTGGAGAAAGGGATCCCCCTTGCCCACCATCCCTCCAGCCCAGGGTCCCTCCCTTGCCCCATGGATGGAGGGTGCAGCGGGGGGCTGAGCCCTCGTGCTCCTCTACCTGGATGTCCCGTGCCCTCTCGTAGGACTGGTAGGCCACCTTCTCCTCCATGCTGGCCAGCTCCTGCTTCAGGTTGGTCATTTCGTTCTGGTGCAGCTCAGTGAGGTCGTTCAGCTGCTCCTCCAGGCGCTCGTACCTGCGCACAGGGGTTGGAAGGGCGCTGGGGTGGGCAGGTCCCCACAGCCACCCCCCTGTCCTCCTGCCCCCGACGCTGGGGAAACCACCCGGCCCCTCCGACCCACCCCGCTCCTGCTGTAGCTGGTTATGGCCGATGAAGGAAAAGCACTGCATGATCCTCCCCTGGAGCGGTGCTGCCCAGGGGGGTCTGGCAGTGAGGAGTGCAGTGGGGACTGCAGGTCCCCGTGTCCCTGGCATGCAGGGCTTAGCCGGACAAGCTCAGGATGGTGACCTCGTGGTCCCCAAAAAGCCACCCTGGGATGACACATGCTGCCACCTGCCCTACCTGTAGCGCTCCTCTTGCAAGCACTGCGTCATGTAGGTGTAATCCCGCTGCAGCTGGGCCTTGAGGTCCTCCATGGAGTCCTCCAGGTGTGACTGACTGTCCTTGATCTCCCGGAGCTCCTCCAGGATGGTGTCGAAGTTATTGTGGTGGCTGTCCAGCGTGTTGGACTTGGGGCTCCCCAAGCCACCGGGTCCTGCCCCTGAGTTGCTGCCACCAGCCGAGCCAGAGGAGGCACTGGAGCACTCATCATCGCTGCCATACTTGGGGCTGGAGACCAGGGTGGCACTGCCGCTGAGAGCCCGCGAAGCCTCCTCCGGGTGCCCGTCATCCAATGTGTCCTTCAGGTGGGCAATGTTGTCCGCACTGCCAAACTTGTTCCGGATGAGGCTGGCGAATTCCCGGGGCTTGGAGACCACAGCGGTGTGGGTGGCCTGGGACAGACCCGAGAGCCCTCCCTTGACACCCTCCACTACGCCACCGCCGAAGCCGCTGATGCTGGAGCGAACGTTGGCACCCACGTCCTTAAGACCCTGGTGCATGTCCCGGAAGACATCCTTGGGCTGCCGGGAAGGGCCGTTCTGCTCGATCTCCTTCAGCTTCTTGTGGTAGTGCTCCAGCTTCTTGTGCAGCTGCGCGATGGTCTGTGCTGACTTCTGGTTCTTCTTCTCAAAAACCTGCTTGATGCGGGAGGCTTGCTGCTTGTCCGCGTTGTTGGCCAACTTCAGGTACTCGGCCACGTTGTCATCCCGAGCCTCCTGCTCGATCTTGATCTGCTCGGTGATCTTGAGGATCTTCTGGTGCAGGTGCTCGATGGCGGCTTTTGTCCTGTGCGGGTCAGGGGTGCCATCGGGGACGTCCAGGCAGACGGTGCCGTCGGCGTCGCCGTGCCCGGCGGTGGAGGGCAGGCTGAGCGCGGCCACGTCCCCCTTGTCCAGCTGCAAGCAAAGAGAGAGGAAGGCGATGCTCAACGGAGGGAGCGACTGTGCAGGCAGTCCCCGGGGAGGGGGCAGGAGAGGAATGGGGGTGGGGAGGGGGCAGAGGAGGGAGAGGGAGGCGAGAGCTGGGCAGGAGAATAGTTAACCAGAGCAAGAGCGAGAAGTTGTTGGGTTTTTTTTCGGGCTGGTTAAGCATTTCCCAGCCGTACCACTGGCATCTCAGGAATAAGCCAGTTAGAGGGCGCAGCAACAAAATAATTACGGTTTCTGGGCTGGTTTTGGCTAATTGCTTTCAGCAAGGAGCATCCGCCGCCGGGAGCTCAACTCTGACTTTCCATCCTCGCTCTGTGCGGAGAGGGGCACCCGCGTTTCTGGGCTGCGGGACAGCCAGCGCCAGGCAGGGAAAAAGGAGAGAGGAGCTAAAACTGGAACCCATCATCAGATCTCCCACCAAACCAATGGCGAGAGCGGAGAATGAGCAACCCGCAGGTATTTTGGTCTCGTTTTCAGTCTTTGGCTTTTATCCTAAATGCACACAGCATTTTTTTTCAGCTGAAAAGAACCTCTGCCATAACCCCAATTTGCGGGTGACTCAGGAGCAGCTCCTGATCCCCAGAGGCCGCAGGCACAGGGACTCCTCTGCTTTCTTCTCCAAGGTTTCTCACCTGGCAACGCGCAAGCTGCCACCTAGAAAGTTCGGGCACAGGCTGATTTTCCTTTTACAGATGGAAAAATGGGAACTTTGGGAAAGGAAATCACTTGCCTGAGGCCACACTTCAAATCACCGGCAGAGCCTGGACTGCAGCGCGGGGTCCTGCCTCACGTTCTCCCACCCGGGCACACTGCTTTGCCACTTGAAAAAAAAAATCACTAAATCTTTCCAGTTGCTGGGTTTTACGTGCAGATTCTTATGCAAATCTCAGTGGTTGTATAAATGGCTCCTGGCTTCTAATTAAGAGCTGCTTGAAAGTTAAATACTGTTGGCAGACCTGAATAATTTCTAATTTCCATCACACTTTCCCCGAATGACCCTTTAATAGGGATAATGCTGCGAGATCATTACTTAGGAGTGTGTTATCACCAGGAAATGCCTTGCGCGGGAGGGAGGAATGTTCTCAAGATGCTGCTTATAAACACTCCCGTCTGTAGCGGGTCCCACGCGGGGCTCGGAAAAGCCGGGGAAAACGCTGCCCTCCTGTTAATTACTTCCATCTCCTTTTCCCCCCCGGCGCTGCTGTCCTGCGGAGAGCCCGAGGGTGTTGGTGCTTCATGTCGGGAGGTCCTCGTGGGGGTCTCAGCCTCCCTGGGAGGCAAAAGCAGACAACCACAAGCTCGGTGGGAGCATCCCCCAGCTCCCTCCCCAAGGCTCCTCTTCTCTCCCCATTGCAGCAGCGCTGCTGTCATACGGGGCAGGGGCTGGAGGATGAGAGCAAAGGGGAAACCCAGCAGCCCGCAGGCGGACACAGGGCAGAGCTGGGAGCTGGATCAGCGTGTTTTTTTGGTTTTTTTGGTTTTTTTTAAAAAAAAAAGTAAAAAAAAAAATTCCCAACAAATGTGCGGAGTTTTCAGACCCCGCTGCCAGGCTATTCTTAGCCGCTCAGCCAGGCTGGGCCCTCCAGATGCCCTGCGAAGGGTTTCACTTCGGTTTCTTATCAAGGGGCAGAAATTAGAAGCAGCAGGAAACAGACTTTTTGCCCAGATGTGCAATTCTCTGTCCAGTAAGGGAGAAATCGGCCGTGGTGAAGGAAAAGGCAGCGCCGGAGACGCTGAAACAGGAAACCCCAACTGGGCCAGTGAAGGGGAGAAGTTGCTCAAACTTTGTTTCCAAACAGGGAAAGGTTTAGGAATCACCCAAAACTTTGCCCCTGTGAAGCCAGTCTTTCGGATTTGTTCGTGGGAGTACATTTGGGAGCGCGGGGGGAAGGGAGGGCGGGATGGGTGGTAAACGGCACGGACCCGATGGCTGCCCATCCGTGCTGACCTGGCTGGGGTGAAATCCTTTCCCCAAACACCGCTGAAAGCTCTGCTCTCTCGGGCACAGGGCACATCACAGGAAAGCCACATCAGGTTATTGCTTTGAAAACAACAACTAAAAAAAGACAATACCGATCTCTGCACTATTAACAGACAGTGCCTACTAAATCCCAGCAAGCCTAAATGACTGTGCTCTGGATTTAACCGGGAAAAAAAATTCCCTACATGCAGAAAACCTTCTGGTAGGCACAGCGAGATGAAAGCGCTGTTTTGCAGCGCTTGTTTTCCAGGCAGGCTCGGAGGGGAGAGCAGGGGCTGATGTGGGATGCAGGAGGAATGCAGGACGCAGGATGAAAAATTATTCTTATCAACGGAGTTCAACCCAGGAGAGCTGAGATATGCAAAAGGCTCAAGCTAATAAGCTGAGCAAACAGTACTTAGAGGGCCACGGCCGGGCGCAATTATGCAATGCTGGTTTATTTGCTGCTGCAGGTTTGGTGGAAGGAAGCCCAGGTGGCAGGTGAGGAGCTCGGGGCCCGGCAGGTCGCTCACGGCCGTGTCTCCGGCGCGGGGCTGTGGGTCTCCCGGCACACCCACGACTGGAAAGGATTTACACCCATTCTTAAGAGATTGCACAATTATTGCAAAGTTCAGAAGAAAACCCCCAAGACACTTACTCACGCCCTGAACTATTCTGTTTTCCATACCCTATAGCCTACTAGGAAGCGCAGCGGATGAGCTCATGCCGTGGCTTCTGCTGCATCGACCCCGAGCGAGGACTTTCACTACGAAGTGTGACCGTGGTTCCCAGCTGAAGTACAACACGGGGATGAAAAGGCCGTGGGAAGGACCATATGCACCTTCAAGCACAGAAAAAATAAGTACCCCCGAACTGTGGAGGGATGCTGGCAGGCAGGGCGGACCCAAGGAGCTGCTGCAGCGCTCCGGCAGCTCCACATGTCACTGTGCCCCGGGCCCTTGGTGGCCATGGAAAGCCACAGGGGAGAGGCCACAGCCAGCAGAAAAATGCAGGTGAGCAGCGGATGTGGGGAGGTTGATTTTGGGACAGGCGTTAAACGTGGCTGCTCCCATGGCCCCCCCTTCCCCAGCGCACTTGATCAGCGTAATTTGGAACAGCATCTGCCCTGTGAGTCGGTGATCGCAGTTAGCCCAGCATTACAGGGGATGCTCTGGGTGTCCCCAGTCGCGTCCCCATCCCCACATGTGTTCGCAGCCCTGTACCTCCCGGAGCGGAGCTGCTATTCCCACCAGACCGCGTTACCCACCCCAGGCATTGAAAATAGAAGCAGGAGCCCTGACTCACTCTTCCCACCCTCCTTCCAAGCCTGCAACAGAGACCGAAGCGGGCAGCCCTGTGCCCCCCTCCGTGCCCTGCCTGCTCCCGTGCCGCCCCTGGATGGGCACAACGCGCCGGCAGCAGCTGCCTCCACTCATTTACCAGCCTGAGAATAATTTTTCTTACATAATGTAGGGAGGCACGTTACGGGTTTCAGCTCGCAGCGGAGCTTCCCACCCAGTCTTTGCTGCGCCGGCACGGATGATGCCAGCGGGTTTCATTCACCGAGCGCCAGAAACAGAGGTACCGAAAGCCCTTACGGGTGCCTCCCCTCCCCGCCATCCTCCCCGCCGGCTTATTCTAACCCCATCGGCTGCCGGGACCTACCTCCCTAGCGGGCAGGGCTCGGGTCCCCCAGGGCTAGTCGGCGTGGGCTGCTCGGCCGCGTCCCCGCGGCGGCACGGAGCCCAGCAGTGATGCGCGGTCAGCGCTGGCTGCCATGGCAGGATGCCTGACCCGGGGAAAGCGGCAGCTGACGGCAGCAAAGTTTCAGGGGAGCAGCAGGGAGGGAGGGAGGGAGGAGGAGATCCCTCCCGCAAACCCCCCATCAGGGTTGGCCCCACATCCCTGGGAACCTCCCGAGCGCGCAGGGACTGAGCGCAGCGTTGGGGCTGAGCCGGTGGGTGCAGCGGGATTGCCGACTCAGGAAATCTGCCGGAGCTGTTTACAGCTCTCAGTGACTGGAGCTTTCAGGGCTGTAATGCAAAACCCCCCCACTTCGTCCCCGTGGCGGGATATTCACACGCCTCCAGCTCCATACGCCGCCTGTGCCCTGACGCAGGGGGTCGGGACGGGCCGTTGTCATCTGCTGTGTCACATACCGGGACATAAAGCCCAGGAGAGGCAGGGAGAGGCACGCATAAAGCTAAACCCCGGGTGGGACCGACACGGGGGAAAAATACAGTCGCCAAGCAAGGAAGGGGACCGCCCGAGGGAGATAAAAGCCGGGAACCTGCCACTTGTGTTGGGACCAGGTAGTGTCTCGGCCATGCACTGGGATGGAGCCAGGTCTGGCCGGCGGAGCGCTGCCGAACCGCTCACAGTGCGGAGAGCGATGGGGAAGGCTGCACCGACCCGATTCTGCCACGGGGGAACAGGCGGTGCACGGAAAACACATCCAGCCCACTGACCAGAAACAAGCGTTTCATACTTCATGTGCCATTAAAAAGATATTAAAGGGGACGGCTGAAAAGCAAGCAGGGACAACAGCAGGCTGTGGTTCTGCGGAAGCCGGTGGCAGTCTGGAGTCACCCCCCAGACGCTGTGTTTATGGCGGGGCCAGCGGAGCTGGTGAGGGACCAAAGCGAAAGTCCCGGGCGAGAAAGGAGACCCGGAGCTTGAGCCTTTGACTCAGCCCAAACCCACGGGGCTGCACAGAGCTGCCGGTGCTGCGGGATCAGGCCGGGACAAGAGCGGT